CCTCAGCACTGACCCTCTGACAGTGCGGCACTCCCTCAGCACTGACCGTCTGACAGTGCAGCAATTCCTCAGCACTGACCGTCTGACAGTGTGGCACTCCCTCAGCACTGACCCTCTGACAGTGCGGCAATCCCTCAGCACTGACCCTCTGACAGTGTGGCACTCCCTCAGCACTGACCCTCTGACAATGCGGCACTCCCTCAGCACTGACGCTCCGACAATGTGGCACTCCCTCAGTACTGACCCTCCAACAGTACAGTACTCCCTCAGTACTGACCCTTTGACAATACAGCTCTCCCTCTGTACCGATCCGCTCACAAATCAGTGAACTGTTAATACTGCACTGGGAGTGCTGGCCTGAATCTTTTGTGCTCAAATTCTTTTAGTGGGACTTTGTCCTGTAACCTTCTAATTCAGGTGACCAGCAACTCAAAGGTGACACCATCAGACTGCCCAACCATTCACAATAACACTGCTGTAGTTTATCTCGCACCTTCTAAAAAGAAAGCACAGATTCAGCACCTTGCTCGATAGGGGGTCGGATTGCTCAGTTAGCTGGTTTATAACATTGAGTGGCCCCAACAGCACAGAATCAGCTCCTATAGCAGCTGAGGTTACCATGAAGGTTCCATCCTCTTGACCCTGCCCCTTGCCTGAGGTGTGGTGACCCTCAGGTTAAAACACCACCAGTCACCTTTCTCTTTTCTATATACTCACAACTGAGTAACATGATAGGAGTTTTAGTGCCACTGTGATGACAGGTATGTAGGTGGTATGTCCAAACAACAGGCACATCGCATCGAACAGCGTGACCCTTTGACTGTTCACAGTGGATGGCAAGCTGATCCTATAACCAGACTGTGCAGACAAAGCTCAGAACACCATGCCCAATGTTAGATATGATTCTGTTATTGAAAAATATTTGCTCATTGCTTTAGGGGAGGTGATGGCCTAGTGGTATCATTACTAGTCTCTTAATTTAGAGCCTCAACTAATATTTGAGGAACCCGGGTTCAAATTCTGCCACAGCAGATGGCGGAATTTAAATTCAACAAAAAACAATTGAACTAAGAATCTATTCATGACCTTGAAACAATTTTCTGATCATCAGAAAAACCTATCTGGTTCACTAATGTCCTTTCTTGGAAGGAAATCTACCATCTTTACCTGGTTTGGCCTATACGTGACTCCATACCCACAGCAATGTGGTTGACTCTGAACTGCCCTCTGAAATGGCTTAGTAAGCCACTTAGTTCAAGAACAGCTAGGGATGGGCAATAAATGCTGGCCAGCCAGCGCAACCCATGTCCCACGAGTGAATAAAACAAACCCTAGCTATGCTAAGAATCTCACTAGAATCCAATTTATGTTCATTGGTCAGGCTCACAGTGCACATGCTTGAGGCAAGAGGACCATGTTCTTGGTAGGCAAAAGGAATGTGACCATATATTACACCATTTTCACTCAGAAGGTCATGGAGATTGCTAATCCCTTCTGCATTCTTCATGGCAATACTCTAACAAATTAGAATCTACCTGCTTGGTCATAGTTTTTTTCAGCTAAGATTGACCGTTAACAGTTCCTGCTATATCTCTATGCCAACCACGGCCCAACCGATCAGCAGCCTCTTCACATGCTATATACATTGATATTCCCTTTCCAGGTTTGGTTTTTTACATGTCAGTCCTGATGAACGAAAGACAACAATCTTTGACTTTGGTAACACAGTGTGGAGCTGGACGAACACAGCAGGCCAGGCAGCATCAGAGGAACAGGAAAGCTGTAATTTCGGGTCAGGACC